TAAATAGTAGTTTATAGTATAATTGTAGGCTAAGAAGCATTTTTATTCAATAATAATAACACGTTATCAGGAAAAACAGCCAAAATACATCACTGTTATCAACTTAATATAGACAGTTCAGTCGTCGTCTAATATCCGTCTTTGATAAGAGGGTAGAATGAGCACAGAAAAAAATTTCACAATAAAATTATTCTGATTTATAGTTATGAAAAATAGCACCCTTTTCTCTGGTAAATGTTCCTTTTTATACTGATGCCCAATCAAGACACTCATTCGCTAAGTGATCGTAGTCGAGTACTTAAAGTAGATATTCATTGATTTTAAAAACTTAATTTATTTTCATTATTGCAAAGTTGAAACTTTGATTCAACAAGGTTATCAAAATTCAGTGCTTGGAAACATTCTAAGTGGTGATTTTTTTTTTTATAAATTACAAAACGCTTAAATACAGCCCCGGCAAAGCACCTGAAGAGCTCTCCGAACGCTGCTGAGATGTGTGAGATCACAGGATGGACATGATTTACACAAGCAGACGATGTCCCATGACATCTCACACATTTTCAGTGCCTGTTTTTTCATCTTCTCTTGAGTTCTTTCTCTTACTTCACTACCGTCAGGCTAAATGTATAATCTATTGCCTCACTCTAAACCCCGCGCATGTTTTTATTTCGATGACAATTGCAGCGATACAAAAATAAAGGAATCTGTCGCTTGTAAACAAAATAAGACACGATTGTATATTCAGTCGCACACATCGCGGTATGTTCGGCGTTTCAAGAGTACACAAATGCCGTCCTTAATATCAGTCCGGGTTTTTTTCAATTCGAAAGTCTGGCTTCTTTGATTGTTAATTAACCCCTATCCTGTGTATTTACAAACAAAAGATTTTAGTTATCAGAATCGGTTTCATTTCCCCTTTTGAATGGTTCGAAATGCCATCACATTTATATACACTATCTTCATTATAATTTGGGAAATAGTAGCTTTGCAATTATGTTCATTCTTTATGGGATGTCGTCTGCTTGGGCAGTATTCGTCCATTATCTGACGTCATTAAAACATCGTTATTTTTTTTGGCGAATCTCTCGTATATCCAAGATGATATGGAGGTGGTTGTATTTGTATTTTTATAAATCACCCGATATGTAGTTGACCTAAAACTTGTACGATGGCCATCTGTTAGCTTACCAGTTTCTAGTGATACATTAGTTGACATATTTGTGATTTTCTTTGAATTTCCACTTTAACGCAGCTTTATTGTAGTCTCGATCCAAGTACAGTATTTTCAGGGGCTCTTTAGTAATCCCCCCTCTCTCTCTCTCTCTCTCCCTTTCTCTTTCTCTCTCTCTCTCTTTCTCTCTCTCTCTCTCTCTCTCTCTCTCCTTTTCTCTCTCATATCCACATAACACTTCCTTTTTGAGTCGCTTTTTATCTTTCTTCTTTCCCTCGGAATTTCCAAGTTTTTTCTGCATTCACATTGATATATCTCTCTCTTCCTCTTTGTATAAAGTATAATGCATTTATTCAAATTACACATTACCAAAAACATCCTCTGTTATCATTCGTAATGACATTTCATTATGTTCCTTTGACCGGAAAAATAGTAACTGTAATTAACAGATAGATATTCTTCATACTGTACTGTCAAACAAAACACGGTGTAGAAGTATATACAACTAGACGAATATTAGTGCAGTACAAGTAAAGATGACATTTTATGTTGAAATGTTAAGTTCATGATTTAATTTCTTATTGTACAAAATAGAGATTGAAAACTACATAATTTTGTATACAACAAAATATTGTCATCGAAATAATCTGAAATTTCATGTGACAAGAATCTTTCTCATGTGAAGTCAATCAATTTGATCTGTTCCTAAATATCATATGATACAAATACATTGCTTTTAAAATGCAAGACACACTTCCTCACTCAGATCAAGTTCCCTGAAATGAACTATACTAATACTTTCGGTATGTTCAGTGAAGTAGCTGCAATTATACGCCCTCGCCCCCTCCCATTACACAGCATAAAGGGGTAAGAGAGAGAGAGAGAGAGAGAGAGAGAGACAGATAGAGACATAGAGAGAGAGAGAAAAATTGAAAACTCGGTAATTTGATGGCCTTGATCTCTCGCACTTCATCCATCGACTATGAGTAAAACCTGCCCCCCCCCCTCCTTGGTGAAGCTTCACTGGCTGCATGCTATGCCACGGAGTATGGGTTCATAAAGAGAAATTTATGTGAATTATTTACAATGAGATAGCTCCGAAACAATTTATAAGATAAACATCCATCAACATAGTCAGTGACTATAAAGTAAGGTTACGAAAGATTAAGAAAGGTCCATTAAAACGCATTTTTGGATGACTTTCAATTACACTATTAAACGACTATACTTATCATGAATAAAAAATTATAATAATTCAAAAGATGACCTTGGTATCAGATGTTTACTTGAGTTGAAAGGTATCGAAAGCTTTCGATAGGCCATAAATTTTGTTTTATTAACATCAACATAACGGATAATATAATCACATAAATCAAGAAGTGCCTTTTTATTATAGTCCATAATGTTAAATACACCTTTAGTATCATCTTTTAACACGAAAGTATAATTAGGTATAGCACACCAAAAATAAGTACAACAAACAAATTTGATGATTGCAAATGATCAAGCTTTATGACAGCTTCGAAAAATAAAAAACAGAATTGAAATCGGTCAATGCGTTGTGATTTTATACCATTTTTTTGATTTCGCAAAATTACCGAAAAACCTGCCAGAAATGGTCAAATTGGCAAAATGGCAAAATTCGACAAAGTTGACAACTTAATTCATCGCTTTTTGGACACAAATAATAAATTAAATTATTAGACACTAAAATATCATCTTTGTGGTAAAAGATACAAAAAAGAAAATTCATATATCTATTACCGTTTTGAAAACAGAAGCAAACCGGCAAAATAAGTCATTTTTGCCATTTTTGCGAATCTGCAGATATGAAAAAGTTGTGAAAATAACTAAGTCCGTCTAATTAATATGCGCATATGTAATCAAATCAAAACCGAACATGATACATCAATGAAACCTATGTTTATCAGACAGGTATGGAAATATATTCTTTTTGAAGAAAAAAAAATTATGAATATTCATCAAATATGCAAATTAGGTCATTTCAGCTAATTTTATATATATAGGAAAGTCAAACTGTTCATTATGTTGGCATTTTTAAAAATCATATATTTATAGATCATATTTACACCAAATACTAACATTAAATTCCAAATATTTTCGCAATGCCAATAAAATATGGCGATGGAAATTACTTGGATCACCGTTACAGCTATTTTCTCGTATGTTTCACAAATTATTCAGAAAAACCAAACAAATGATAAGAATCTGCAGACTTTCAGCTACATCACAGTATAGTTTCTTTAAAAAAAATGTCAGATTTGAGGATTGATGACGATTTTCCGAGTCACCATTAAATTCAACAGGCCATAACATTCTACAGGGACTGGATTTCAGAGAAAAACAAAATTTGGTGACCCCAGTACAGTTGTGGCTACCTTTAGTGTAAATAACAAATTGATTTAATGAGTGAAACATATGAGGATATTGCATTTTTGTAGGGAAGTTGTATACATTGAAGTGCATTTTCACCACACAGAATAACAGTCAATGGGCGATCAGCGGGCCATGTCACACATGGCTGAAAATACAATATTCTAATTAATAATTTAACATATTTCCCACATGCCTATAACAATGAAAAAACACATAATTGTAGTGAAAGGTATGCTTGACAGATATGTGAAATAAACATTTTAAAATATTGTTAAGTTTTTTAAGAATAAATTTACGTAAATTGCTATTTCTACCAACTGACTGCTGTTGTGTGTGTTTATGTGCATGGGGCAGACTGTGTGCATAGGCATTGTGATTACCCTAGTATAAGAATAACGCATAAAGGTGGTTGGTTTGATGGTTTGTTTTACCTGACTGCTAAGAGAGACATGTGTATGCTTGGTAGTAAGTAACCAGGGGACAGACAACAGTCCTCTCCGAGGGACTTGGTAGTGAGGATTAATGCCTTACCATGAATCACTAACGCATCGATTTTGTTTCGAAACCGGGGCCTCTCGGTTACGAGACCACTGCTCTACCACTCAGCCAAAAAAAAACGTTTGATGAATAAATGTTAATAGGCTTTCATGTCGAATTTTATCTTGACAGCATGTTTCACTAATTCTGTTCAATGGTAGATCATACATATTACCATATTCTTATTAGAATTTGACCAAAAATAATATCCTTCTCTTTCTCTTTTAACTTCGTTAACAATAGAGAATTCTTTAATATCCCGATTACGAATCAATACACATTATCTTTTTAGAAACATGAAATGATTATACCTGACCCACTGCGAATTTGAGGTCACAAACAAACCCTGAACAATTTAATATTTCAACAAAAAGTTGAAAGGGCACGAACCAGAAACTAGAATATGTGTTTCGAAATGGGAGGCCTTGGAAGGTTTTGTGTGATATTCAAATTTCAACTAAATACACTTGAAATAAGCAGCCACCCAGCCCTCTATCCCATCAGTCTTTCTTTGTTTCTTTTTTAAAAATAATAATCTCTCTCTCTCTCTCTCTCTGGGGAGTTTTTTCTCTTCTCAGAAGTGGTAGACTACTAGTTCATTTTGTATTCTTGACAAAGAACAAACTATTTCATTTCCACAAATAAAATATCATCTTGGGGGGGGGGGGGGGTTGAAGTGTGAGCTCTTTGCAATACCTCCTTGTAGAAAAACTTACATGCATTTTCACAGTTTTGAAATGAACTAAATTTAAATGAGACAAACACAATTGTCAAGACGAATGTCACATCGGATTAGCCTACATGTTTATATACAACGCACGTCCAGTTACAGCCACACGCCATGACACGCGATCTTCCATACAAGTGTAAGAAACCACATTTGTTTGATCTGTTACTAAACTGGAATTACATTATTCATTTCCCTGTTAGCCCTCATGCTCTTCTCAAACTTTGCCCAGAAGAATTCTTGTCCATCTTCATCATCATTTACCCACAACAAATAAGGTTTGTTCCGACTCAGTAACAGCCTTACAAGATACGGTAGGTGGTCATCATCGATGTCCTCTAAGAATATGAGGGTGACCTTCTCCAACTTGGTGTCATTCATATGCTCCACGGCCATACGGAGTTTGGTCATGAACCAGGTATCCTCCACAGACTGGTTGCTAAGCAACAAGACCGTCTTGTAGCTGTTCTCGATGACGTCATAGATGGCGTTTAAGTAGAAAGACCCTGGATGAAGGCCACTATCCCCGAAAACGATGTGCTCCAGGTGTGGCATCCTCCACTGCAGGAATGGCTTCATGCAATCGTTAATCCACCACTCATCATCTTCACGGAACATGAGGTTAAGCTGATACTCGTAGTCCTCAGGACCTTGATTTTCAATGATTTCTTGATACCCAATGATGGCTAACTTTAAGAGAAATAGTTTGTGGTTCAGCCACCATCGCTTTTGATACACGAGGACACTTAGCGACAGAACGGTCACAATTGCAAAAGATACACCTAAAATAAGAAAGATATTGACTCCGCAGTAATTTTTTGGATGGAACGACCAGATAGTCTGATTTCTTAGCGATTTGAAGGAAGTACTAGAACAACGAATCTCACTTCTGTGATCGACTGTTGTATTCACCTTGTCCAGCCATTCCCTAAACCACGCAAGTTGGCAGGTACATGTGAAGGGATTGTTCGCAATGGTTAATATCTTTAGACTTGGTGGTATTAATGTGAAAGGATCTATCGTGGATATTTGATTACCATGGAGGGATAGATACCGGAGACTGGAAGTTCCAGAAAATAATTGCTTCTCGATAACTGTAATACGGTTAAATTTTAGCTTTAGAGAACGTAAATTCTTTAAATCCTGAAAAGCATTCTCAGGAATTATTCTAATATAGTTTTTGCCCAACAAGAGATCTGTTAGTGACGTGAGATTCCAAAATACCCCCAAGTCAATTTGTTGTATGTGACAGCCAGTCAGATCTAGCTTATGGAGATTCCAAAGTGTGGTAAATGCGTTAGAAATCTGATGGAAATCATAGAATAAGTTCTTTTGCAGGTTTAGAGTGTGCAACGAGACCAGTCCTGAAAACAGTGATATATGGCTTTCAAATGGGACTAGATCTTCGGCTATGATTTTAGTTCTGGATAGGTCTAGAGTCCTCAGCGCCGACGTATGATTAAATTGGGCACGGGAAGTAATTTTTAAGCGACTACCAAGATAGGACATATCGAGCAATACTAGTTGATGCATGTTTCTGAACATACCAGTCATAGTGAATTTGTCCAAATTTTGCATTATGATCTTTTCTAAAGAACAGGTGTCTTCAAAGGCATCAACGGATATATCGAGAAACTTATTCATGGAGAAATCAAGAAATTTAAGATTTTTTAAACCAACGAACTTCTTTTTGTTTACGGAATGAAGGTTGTTATTTTTCAAGATAAGAGTTTGAAGATTTGTTGCGTTCCATGGTATAGTTTTGATATCATCAATGTTGCTTTGATAGAATGTCAAAGTGCTGAGTCTGTGGCTTCCGTCAAACCATTGAGGATCTAATACAGAAATGTCATTATGTGATAAATCAATGCTCTCAAGCTTTTCGGCGCAAGCAAAAGATCCTCGTGGAAGCGACTTGATTTTGTTAGCAGCTAGTCCCAAATTAACCAGCGACTTCAATCCACAAAATGACTCGATGTGAAGACTAGATAAATGATTAATTCCAATATCTAGTACCTGGAGTTTTTCGAAACCATCCAGGGCATACTTTGGAATAGTTATCAATTCGTTGTTTGATAGATAGAGTTTTTGTATACCAGGAAAAAGATCTTTTGGTATTTCCGATGTATTCATGGGTACAATAGATTTTATGCCCGACCTGGTTAATGTCACCTTTACTATTGCTTTATTACCCAGAAAGGACTCGGCGTGGAATTTAGCCAGTGAAATATAATTGATGAGTAAATGTACTGCTGGTAGATCAATGAAAACGGCACGAGGGAGACTCTTTATATCGTTATGATTCAAGTTGAATCCACCGAAGGAGCAGTTCCGTAAAGCCAAAAAATCTCCTTGCTCCAGTGATCCGACTTTATTAAAAGCCAAATCAAAACTTGACAAATTCTTACAACCGCATGCGTCCTTCCCATCTTCTGCAAACTGATTAGCTTGCAGATTGTTTCCAAAGATGCGAGGAATTCCAATGAGTCTATTATTATGAAGGATTAGCAATGATAGATGAACATTCTCCTCCAGAAGGGAAAAGGGTAGGACACTGATATTGTTGAAATGGAGCATTAATTCCTTAAGTAACAGGAGATTATCAAACGTTCCATTCTCAATGAGGTAGATGGAGTTATAACTAGCGTCTACAGTTTCTAGCTGTGTATAGTTCACGAACGATTTGTCGAGGAGCATAAAGATGTTATTATCAGAAACGTTGAGGGAACGCACGTCGTGTGAAAGATTCCGGGGAACTGATGTAAGACCGCGATATGAGCAATTGGCGCTATGGTCACTGGACTTTTCCGAACACGTATGATTAAGAGTTATGCTGGTGTGATCCATCACAACACCATATAGCAAAGTGAATCCACACAGTACTACAAAGCTTATTGCGTGAACGTACACAGCCATCTTGAGTTCCAACCAACAGGTCGCTGATACTGAATTGATGCGAGTAAACTGAAAGCAAATCGAAGTAGCACTCGGTCCCTAAAGAGGATTACGATGAGTCATCTTTTTTGTTCTTAAAATAGAGCCCAGGTCTATCATTAAGAGAAATATCCATGGTAGAACGATGAAGACTTTGAGGGTGCTGTAGAAATAGTGTTTGAAGCCTTCTCAAAATGTTTTGTTTTTGTTTTAGTTGACTGCTAAGAAATTATATTTGAATCACATACCTAGAACATCACCACTTGATGTATTATAGTGCAGTTATATAAGCACCATCTCAACCTTTGGCCTACCAAGCTGAACCAAGAGGTGACTGGACGGTCTTATTCCTTGCTTACCAAGAAGGTCGATAGGCCAAGTCCTGGACTACATCAAAGAGATATCCGCAGGTATGAAAAGTCAGTAGTTCCTAAAACTGTGCTCGACTGTCCACCGGTGTTCTTTTCGTTCATTTGTCCTATATGGTACGCGCTTTTGAGTCTTAAGTTCTCTGTAACACCATTTCATTGACTCATTTCCAGCTTTGTCATTTTTCTTTGATTTTTGAAACAAGCATTAAACATCCTTTCGCCAAATGTACAGTGTCCATGAACATGATTCACCTATGTAAAATTGCAGTCCAGAGACTCGGTTTTCGGCAGAGAGTTAAGACTTGCCTAAAATAAGATCCTTCATCAGCAGACTTGTTTCAAGATTGTTTCCATCAAAACGACCTTTCTCAAGCTTTATGAGCAAGTCAATTATTTGTTTATTCCGTTTTTCTTGATGACCCTGATCAACACTGTTCCTCTCCCCTCATCTTGGTGTATATTATTTAGGAATTAATCCTTACAAATCAACGTGTGCTGAGTCAAAGGTGCTTTAAATTCGAATAAGACAAGAGTCGAGATTGTGAAACACCGTGAGATGCAACATGAAATGAAGCGTCGGTTAAGGCATGTGATCAGTTTGTTCATTATATCACGTGATTAGTGAACAAAAATAATAGTAAAAAAAACTTCAACGGGGCGTTGGTGATAGATAAGGAAGTGGCTTTGAGGAAACAAAGAACTGTGATATAAATAGCTCTCGAGGAGAAAAACACCCCATGGATTCAATCAATTGATTCAAATAAATTGATGCTTAGGTATCTTAATATTTCAAAAAAACGATTCCTTTACGTCCGGTGGCTATTATTCTTGGTTTTTATCTGGATTTTATAGGCAATTTTCAAGTATCGATATGTTTAATTACTTTCGCCGACAAATAACCTGTCTTAAGTGATGTTACTGTTCTAATTTGTATCGAGTGAAATGCGATATGTTCTGTTTTATTTTTGCCTTTATTTTCTTGAGGTTGTTAAAATTCTATTTTGCATAACCAAAATTTGTATTGCTTTGTTTTGTCTGTTGGTATGTTTGTTATATTGAATTGAATTGGATTGGATGTATATATATTCTCTCTCTCTGTAGTCCTCCTTCCCCTACTTCTTCCTTCCACAATTTTCTCTGTCACAGCAAGATTCTCTAGGCGTTCTTTACGTGTAATGTGAACCATGAACTTCAACTGCCTAATCAACATCTCACGTATCATTTTCCTTCGCACTCCAGCTCGTCTAAGAACTTCGTCATTCCTAACTTTGTCAGTCCAAGGGATTTTCATCATTCTTCTTTAAAACCACATTTCGCAACTTTCCAAACGCTTTTTAGTATCCGAGGCTAAAGTCCATGTTTCACTACCATACATAAGTACAGGGTAAATGTAACAATTCAGTACTCTTATTCTGGTCTTCATACACATTGTCCGATTTGTCAGAATTTTGCCTAACTTTAAAAATGCAGATTTAGCGAGAGCTATCTTTCTTGATCTTGATCTATTCATACACGGTTAAAGTCCACACAGTGACAAGACTGGATTTCGTTGGGGCCGTGCCATACATTAACAAAATAGATAAATCGAAAACATTGAAAAAGAAATACTGATATACTTAAAGGCTATATGTACGTGTAGTTCAAATAATTTATTGTTTAAGTGATGGTATAAGAATTGATAACATTATACAATCTAAGAACAAACAATAAAACACAAAACATTATTACTTAACAGATCGGGAAAAAAAATCAACATTTTGGGAAATTTCGAAAGTTGTATAAATATAAAAACAAATGTCAAGGGAAGGAAAATACACTAACCTATGAAACTTTTATAGCAACAAAATATGATAAGAGATCGCACAATCAACATTAAAAAAAAAAATATGAATAACGCTTTTCTATCTAAAATAACCGGAAGGATAATATCATTAAAAATACCAAAACGGAAATATCAAACATTGTAAATGAAGAAGATTTATTAAAAATAGTAACACAACAATGAAAAACTCAAACATCACAGAATGACATACCCCTATAATGTACAGATTTTTCCCTGTCTGTCCATGATAGATTTTTGTTTGATTTATGATAATCCTATTAAGTCCGGGTTTGATGTCAAAACAATTATTCATATTTATTTTAGATTTAAGAGAGAGAGAGAGAGAGAGAGAGGGGGGGGGGAATGAAGGGGGAAGGAGATTCATAGAAATACCATATATATTATTTGGTAGGCCTGTAGTTTCACATGGCATTAGAATAACTGTACTCCAGTTTAGGGTAAGTAGCAGTCGTTTACCTACGTTGATAATAATTGTTACATCGTGAACTTAGGTTCGTATTAATGGGGATATTCGTAATCTTTGACCAAACAAAATATGTGCTCCCTCTTTTTCAATTTCTT